TTGAGATGCACCTAGATTCTCATTGAAGGCCACCTGTGGCATATTAAATTGACTGGACATAGTTTAGAAATGCACACACCTGTGTACATGTAAAGTCCCACACGTCACACAGACAGAAACCGAAACTCTCTGTTGTCCTCTGTGATAAAACTGTGGTAAAGCATAGATTAGGTAAAGGAAATACTGTAAATCTATTTGTAAAGCTCTGAGTGTTCCCAGTGGGCAGCACGGTGGCGCAGTGGTTAGCGCCGTTGCCTCACAGCGAGAAGGTTCCGCGTTCGGGCCCCACCCAGGACCTTTCTGTGTGGAGTTTGCCTGTTCTCCTCGTGCTTGCGTGGGTTCTCTCCGGGTACTCCGGCTTTCTCCCACAGTCCAAAGACATGGCTTAGGTTGATTGGTGACTCTAAAATTGCCCATAGGAGTGCGTGTGTGTGGTTGTTTGTCTATGTGTTAGCCCTGCGATGGATTGGCAACCTGTCCAGGGTGTACCCTGCCCGATTGCCAGCCGGGATTGGCTCCGGCGTGACCCCGTTTAGGGACTAAAACAGTAGAAAATGAATGAATGAGTGTTCCCAGAAGCATAGTGTAACCATCGGAATGTCTGGGAATATATGGAATATACAAGGACTCTTCCTAGAGTGGACTGTCTGTTGAACTGAGTAACCTGGAAAGTATACTTCAATATTTGATTTTTAATACATTTGCAAAAATTTCTAAAACATATGTTAACTTTGTCATTATTGGTTATTGAGTGTAGACTGAAAAACTAAAAGTGGCAATTTTATCAATTTAAATTTACACAAAGTGTAAAAGGTGCAGGTGTATCAATACTTTCTGAAGCCAGTGTATCCAGTTTTGGTGTCTAACGGGGGCAATTAATATTTATAAGGACATGCATTGGGATCATTTTTGAAGATTCCATCAATCTTTAAAGCAGCAGGGACTTTTGAATGTAGAATCAAGTGAAGCATGTTTTAGATAAACTGCAATAATTATTTCAAGCTGTAGCATAGCTGCTTTGTTTTTGACCATGACCCTAATCTCTGACAGAACTTCAAGTAAATACTAGTACTTATTTACTCAGTCATGTAAAACAATCCTTCTCCTGGAGAAACTGACCTGAGGATGGCACTGTTCACCATTAGTATACTGCCTCTTCACCATTTATCATCACTAAATGCATCATTAGACTATAGTTATTAGAATTTGATTCATCCAGTGAGCTTTTTTAATGTTAGATTCTTCAAAACGTTTATTCTGTAAATATTTTGTCAAACTGTTCGTTCAGTCATTTTGTTCTGTTGATAATGTTGCTTCCCTTTTTTTAAATGTATCAAATACGGATATTATCTTTGCATATACAATAAGTATAAACATAATCTTGCAGTGCGTTTGTTTCTTTTTATGTGTTTGTTCTGCATTCCATTAGTATCCATTGTTTTTTCTTTTATTTTTTGTTCTCTTAGTCTTACCTTGCTTACTCTTTGCCTTAGAGGAAGAGCATTGTACATGCACATTGAAAGCCACTGTACCAAAATCAAATTCCTTGTGTGTTTGGTACACATGGCCAGTAAAGATGATTCTGATTGTTTTACATTGTGATAAGTCAGTGATGTCACCTTTTGCACCTGGACGTACAACAACAACATGCATCCTTCATTTCACTGATTGAGATCAGTGGTGGGAATCTGTTGAATGATGTTGGCTTGATCAGATCAGATTAAGGCTTCAGTCAGGTTTCTGGTCCAAAGTCTTAATCTGAAAGGGAAGCTAAAAGGAAAAACTCGTATTGCTTTTTATGATCACTGATACAGAAAGAATTTTATCAAGCCAAATGTAATTCATGTGTAATCTCATGCAGGTGGGTGCAATAAGTGCAGAATGATCTAATTGGACTGCTGAGAAGACACATTCGCTTGATTTCTTTTTCCACATCAGTAATTTTGGACTGTGTTTTCCCTTTCTTTACTGTGAGTCTTCTCTTTGCTGACATTTGTTCAGTCTAGGTGTGTTTCTGATTCTCTCACTGATTTCTTTCTTTCTTGCATTTTCATTCTGTTTCTTTCTTTCTTCTTCCTCCTCTATAAGCTGCACAAATTGTATATCCTGCTGTCCTTCACCTCCCAGTGGTATTCTAGCCATGTTGATAGCTTATGATTTATACTCTGTAGTTATACTTTTTTGGACAAAGTAGGAATGCATCCACAAGAAAGTGCCGATGAAAATAAATATTGTATGATGACAAAATCAAAAAGGAATCCCTGTATTCCTGGAGGCTCATAAATATTCTTCAGAGGTTTATGGTTATTAAATGTGCAACTGTGCTTTTCCCAGCAGTGTGGAGAGGATTTGTAACTAGACAACCAACTCACCAATGTTATTACAGTTTAGCTGTGGGTGTTTTGGATGTCTGTAATCTTCATGATAACAAGGGTTCTAAATTTGGGTGAACTTCCCCTTTAATTAAGGAAGCCACTGAGCTGTAAATTTACTTTGTTCTCAAGTCTAGTATCACCTCTTGATTACAACACCACCACCTGATACCTGCTGTGAAATTTTTTGCTTTGTCACCATGAGTTAGAAAGTTGTTCTACAGTCATCAGATGACCATCAAGTTTAATTATTTCCTCAATATGAACAAGTTATAAATAATGACACACTGACATAAAGCTAAGAAAAGGTCAATGATATCTTCCATAAACACCTGGACCTGTTTTATGATTTATGCAAGCTCCAATAACGTTCCACTGTGAGTAAGCATTCCATCAATATGCAGGTTTTAGACAAAGATGAACACAGCTTTGTCCAGTGCTCTGAGGTGTAGGACAAAAATATATGCTGCTTTTCACTTTTCTGTTTCCTGTGAGATGATTTCTTAACTATTTGTAAATTCAGTGAGGACAGTATTTTCTTTTCTTGTTTTAAATTTGAGGTACCAGATAGTTTCATGCTTTACTGTGTATATAGCCTAAAACCAATCTAACAAGGAAATCTAGTTTATCAGACCCAGACTAACCTATTTAACATTTACAGCAACAAGTTCCTCATGTATGAAAGACTGGTCACTGGATACATTGTATATCTGTTCATGACTGCAGGCCTTCTGTTTCCAGTAAATACATGTACAAAGATGCTGCTTTTCTATCTCTGGTACAGTGTAGCCTACTGTTTTGAGCAATATCATTTGCCTATGTAAACCAAGTGGAAATCATTCCAGTACACAGGAAGATGTGGGTTGCACAGTAAATGGCTCAAGGAAAAGATTGTGTCGGGAAAGGATTGTGTAGGTTCTGCAGTGGATGAAGCTTAATGAATTTAGTGAATCCTTAACTTTTCATTTAGCACCAGTAGAAGGTCAAAGTTTCGGTTCAGTAGGTAAGCACAGCTGTGCCTTAGTAGAATCACACAGCTCCTAGACTGGTTGTATAGATTCTTGTCTTTCACTATAGCTAATGAATTCAGTTAAAATATGCCTATTGCTTCAAAAGCCAATGAATTTAGTTTATTTTAAAGATTTTCTTTCTCTGTAAAGGTCCAGGAAAATAAAATGGTACGTGTTTCTATGAGAAATACACCACTTATAGTAATGCTAATAATTTGCAAACAGTGCCATGACTATCACAGCATAGTAATTCTAATATAAATCATGAAATTATAAAACATAACTAGCTGTATTGTTATCCCAAAAACTACATAATTTTATCATTTAACCCTGCAGTTAGTGATTTTTCTGACACATACTACCTTGAAGTTGATTAAGGGTAAAATATTTTTATGGGGAATATGTTGACTAACAGTTGTTTAGCTACATATCCAAGAGATACAGAGCAATGTTAGCATTCATTTGGAGCTGTGTGTCCTCACACAAGATGATTTAAGCCTAATATTCCCTCTCCTTCCAACTGTGTGCTGGTCTGACTTGTTAGCTGTTAAATGCCCACCACCTTGTTGCTAACTGTGTCTGCGTGTGTTTGGTGCTGGGTAGGTACTGTACTGTACTGGGGGCTTATCACAGCATATACTGTATCTGAAAACAGTTGTCTGCTGTAAAAATGAGAGCTCCATGCTGGAAGAATTATGTGAATATAAGGAAAAGAAGTAGAAATACAGCAAACAGCAGTATTCATTCAAAGTCTTATGGGCACTCCAGTCCCAATTTCTCAATAACTGTTATGTTTAAAAACCAAAAGAAACCTGTTGTCTATGGCTGCAGGTAAGAGCACTATAGGGTGTGGACAAAATAGCACCAGAGGTGATTTTTTAATTTGCTGCTCCTGTTAGCTAGTGAAGAATTTACCGTATGTGATGATTTTGGGACATTCAACTTGTCACATTATGTCATGCTGTGAGTGATGTGCCATATTTGGTGTAAGATTAATAATGTACAGCACATCCAATACAGGGAAAATGAGATAAGAAAAATGTTAGAATTCATTACAGTTAAAATAACTATATTAAAAAATACAATGCAATTTTGTAAAACATCAAAAAATATTATTGTGTACAGTAAAAAAGAGCAAATTTTTTACATCTAGCATTTTTTTAATTGAAAACATTTAAATTAGGACTGTAACTAATTTACCTGAAAATAAATGAATACTGGGGCAGTACAGTGTCATGGTGGTTAGTGCTGTCACCTAACATCAAGAAAGTTCCAGGTTTGAGCCCGGGCCAACCTGTGCCTACCTGGGTTTTCTCCGGGTTCTCCAGGTACTCCAGCTTTCTCTGACAGTCCAAAGACATGCAGCTTAGGGTGATTGGCAACTCTAAATTCCCCTAGAAGTGAATGAGTGTGTGTGGTTGTTTGTCTTTATGTGTTGCCGTGTGATAGACTGGGGACCTGTCCAGGGCATACTCTGCCTCTTGTCCAAAACCAGCAGAAACAGGCTCCAGCCCCCCCGTCGACCCTATTCAGGAATTAACGCTATAGATAATGGAAGGCTGAATGAATATTGTAATGTAGGCTAGCGTGAGGAAAGAGCCGGAGACAGTGGCCTGTTTTCACCTTTTATTTCCCCCCTCTGGCAGCAGCACAGCAATAACGGAAGTGGGCACACACACAGTGAATCCTGCCAAAACCCAAAACTATTTACATTCTACCCCATGGGGCATTATGGGGGATCCTGTCAGGTGCTTCTCCCCTAAGGCATGCTGGGGGATCCCACCAAGTGTCTCTCTGGCCTCATAGCTACAATATTTAAACTCAAAAATGGCAATATAGGCAATAACTTTCACATAAACATATAGCTCCACATTGAATATATAAACAACAGCTATTCTGACAAACATACTAACCTGCACATATACAGCAAAATATATTACATTTCAAATATCTGTCCAACATTGGATACTGCTTACCACAGAGAACATTTTTGGTTTGTGTAATATGTTTACAGTTTTATACTGCATACTGTAAGCAATGTTTTTGACCACATCACTGTACTTTGGTCAGTCACAGATTAAGTTGGTCTTCTCAGCATTTCCAGACTGTGGTGAATCAGGTATGAGAATCTGTCCAAGATTAACAGGCTGAGCTTGTAATGCAGGGACCACAAAATCAAGAGGAGGATCTGCCACAACACACAGGATTTGGGTCAGGTTTAATGCGTAAGTCAGCTATTTGAAATTGTATATAGAGTATATGATGCTGTTTATAAAAAGATAAATTTGGTGATCATCTTACCTATTTGCTTTTCATCTCCATTTCTTTGTACTTTCCTCCTCTGATCCACTAAAATGGAATACAGGGGAATAAGATGAGAAAATATCCAAATAGGCAAATCTATTTCCAAATTTAGAGACTGTTTTTCATTCAAATGAGTTGTGCAATACAGTGTTTATCCACAGTTACTGCAAATCATCGAATCACAGAAGAAGAAAAATGAAACGAAGAAAAGTGCTTCTTGGTGAATCAAATAAGTAATGTTATACACTTTACAGCCACAAATCATTTTCAGAGAAAGAATACAGTTCAAAGAAGGCCACAACATCATATTTCTTGTATATGTACTGGAACGAACCAAAATTTAGCCACCTTGTTTGCACAAGTACAGAAAGTAAGTGTATAAATAATTTTGATATGGTTAGTTTTGTACTTGATTACAACCACAGTTAAATGGGAAATCATTATTTCAGTACAGACATCTAGGAGAGGGAAGAAAAACTCACATAATAAATGTTCTTAACATTCAACCATTATTAACTGAAGTTAATTCCATCTGATAATGATCATTTTATTTAGCCAAGTATGTTACACACAAGGAATCTGTTTCCAGTACAGAACCTAGGCAGCCATCTGTGGCGCCAACTCACAAATGTAGGGTTTGATGTCTTGCCCAAGGATACTTTAACATGTGGACTGCAGGCACCGTGATTCAAACCTCCAACTGTCAAGTTGGGAGACAACCATTCTACCCCCTGAACCACAGTCACAGCACTGAAACCTTAACAAAAACACTGAGCTCAGGAAGTTCAGGTGTGAACTGCCTTAGACTTGCCAGAAAGGTGTGATGAAGTGTGTTAGTCTGAAGGGTGGATGCTGGCAGTGGGCCTAAAGCTACAAAGTATGCCAACAGAGAAGATAACACCGCAGGTCACAGTTTGATAGGGTCTACCTACCGGTTAATAGTGCATAGAGCACCAGAGTGGCAGTAATGATTCCAGAAAGGCAAACACAAGCTTGAATAATGACCCAGCTAAAGTCCCAAGAGGCTCGATTCTTGACAAGAGGTCTGAGAGGCAATGAGTGATCTGTAAAGACAATTTACAGTACAGTGCAAAGACTGATGAAAACATGGCATTTGATTGAGTGGACTGTATGAGACTTTTGAAAGAAGAGTTTGACATTTTGGGAAATATAGTCCTTTGCTTTCTTGCAAGTTGGAAGAAAAAATAGATACCGCCCCATAACTGTCTATTCAACAAGAAGCTGTAGCTCACAGAAAGCTATCTTAGCTTTACGTAAAAAAGTGGCAGCAGTATTAAACAAATCAGCTGAAACATGTTAATTAGTAACCTTTAGAGGCACTCATAGGGAACAATTTGGGCAGAGGTGGGCCAGCTGTCGCTGCCAGTTTTCTGTTGTTATGGTAAGCTCTGTGGGCTCAAGGTTCATTTTGAACAAGCTAATGAAACAGTTCTGTTTGTCAAACATTTGAAAGATGAAACCAGAAGCATACATCCTGTGCCCTAGAGGATGTCAGACTTTTAAGTTCTCAATTGTGCGTGAGAACAGTACATCAAAGATCGTATTCTTCAAAGCCCTCTGTAGACAGATAATGGTTTCATCCATCACTGCACATAAATTTCAAGTGGATTCTTGTACAGAAAATCCTTTGTTGTTTTTTTATTTACAGAGAAACCACTCAGGGCAAAGCTAATAGACCTACTTTTGTAGTTACCTATTTAGAAGTTCCATGACTATGAACATGAGCCCTATTACAGCCTCAAGCAACATTTTTAAAAAAGCATTTTACTCTGAAGTGGTGTCTCAGTTTGTGAAGATCTTAAAGGAAAGGAAGGAAAGAAAAGTTGTGATAAACCTAGGTTAGATTACACAGGATGAATAAGAAGCACTAGTCCAAAAGTCATACTTACTGCATTGCTCAAGATAGTGTAGAACAGTGGCAGCATAATTCACATCAAGTCTCTTCACCTGTGCAAATACAACATTCAAACTCAGTGTCATTCTAAATTTGAAATGACATGCTGTTGATCACAAAGGACTAATTAAGAACAAAAACATACCATTAGGGAGGAGTTGCATATTTGCCCTGTGAAGTTTAAGCCAACAGCTTTATTCTTCTCCTAAGAAAAAACAAATGAAACAATAACCATGCCACTGTTACAGAGGTTGTCATGGTTTTTATTTTGCCTTTTTTGTGTTTATTTCTGTACTGCGCTGAACTGTATCTGCCATGTCACATTTAAATACTGTTCCAGGAGAGACATGATTAACTGGTGAAACATTAAAGTTTACTGTCAGAGTACAAAGACAACCAGAACCTAAGTGAGGGTGCATGTACGTATGTTGTGACAGCTCTTTCATACTGTGTTAGGCAAATGCAGATGCTTCCACACACAGGGGTCATGAAGGGATATGAAAATGATGTGAGTCACTTCCGAAAGGAGACTCCGCCACCATTATCAAACACCAAATGTGTGATACGTACCACATGCACAGTGTGTGTCTCAGTGGTCTGGCACACAGCAGACCCTGCAGACTTCACACACAGCCCCACAGAAAAGGTTGCAGTGATGTGTGACAACATCTTCACCTCTTCTCTTGTCACAACCACCTCCCATGCTGCAAATTTAAGAGATCATTATAATGACCAATTCTACAAAAGCACATTACATAAAGTCTACTGTGCATGTAGATCTTAAAATGACTGTGAGGTAGATTTATTGCCATATACTGATGCAGTACCTTGAAAGCTCCCTTCAGCAAAGGGGCACCTGATCCAGGACTGAGAGTCTGTAGTAAACTGAAAATGATATAAGATACTGTATAATTAGTTTGACGTGCTCTTTATGTTATAGAAAGCACATAAACATACAATAACCCTTAGTTTTAAGAAAGGGATGTAAGTGAGAATTAACGTCACCATTACCATTATACTACGCCCACAGTAAACAGTTCCAATCAACAGTGTAACCACAGCATAAAGTGTATACAGTAAAACTGCACATAACAATAGCACTTCTGCTTTGTTGTTACCAGTTAACTCTCACTTGTCATGATTCGGTTCCGCTGCTTCCTGTCCGGCTTTTATTTTGACGTTACCTCCTGTTTTTGTTTCACCTTAGTTTCGGTCTTTTTACGTTCTTTCTGACAGTACAATCTGGCCAAATTGAACTCAGCCAGCGAGGACGTCAGAGCCAGTCAATCACAAGCTCTGCCACCGGCTCTATAACCTCCACCTCATGGAGACCTACCTGAGCCCAGCAAAAGCCCAGGAAGTCTACCAACAGCTACAGGCCCAGATGGTTTCTTCGCTCTCCCGCCCCGCACAGAGCCCCTCTCCCTTCGAGGGAACCCGGTGGGCTATATGCCCTGGGGGTCCAGGGAAACGGCAGACCAGGAGGAGACCGTCAACTGGGGCCGCTGTTCCTGTATCCAGTCTCCGATCTCAGCAGTCCAAGCCACGCCAGCTGCAGCCACCTCAGCCAGCGCCACGCCAGCTGCAGCCACCTCAGCCTGTTTCAGAGATGCAGTCTCCACAGGCTCTCCGGCCTGGGCACGGTGGTGTCCCCGCCGACACTCAGAACCCCTGGGCTGCCTCGGCCAGCATCACGCCGCCTGCATCCGCCGCAGCCAGTTTCAGAGATGCAGTCTCCACAGGCCCTCTGGCCTGGGCACGGTGGTGTACCTGCCGACACCCCCTTGGTGCCTGTCTCTGTCCCTGTCCCTGTGTCTGTTCCTGATCTGGTTCCAGGTCCTGTTTCGGAGCGGGTCGGCCTGTGCGCCGATGCCGCCTTGGTTCCAGTGCCTGCATCTGCGCCTGACCAGCAGCAGCAGCCTCTGCCGGTTCCCCAGCTGGGAAACAGTGACGTCCCCTCTGATGTCAGGGGGCCCAACAACAGTGTCCCCGCCAGGGCCCGGAGCAATCAGTGTGCCGACGGTGAACCACCAGCCAGGGCCTTTGCTGCAGTTCCTGCTCCTGAGCGAGTCGACCGGTGCGCCGACGCTGCCTTCAAGCATGTTCCTGATCCTGCCCCTGAGCGGGTCGGCCAGCGTACTGACGCCGCCACAGAGGCCGCCCTCTGGCATGATT